TGAGAGGAGAAAACTGGTTTGTGCTCTGCCCAGGGCAGGAATTTATGTCCAAACACGAGCCCCGATCTGACTCTGTGCTCTGAGTTTCCAAGAAAAAGCGCAGAGCAGAGAGTTGAAGGGCAGGAAATAGACGATACGATCAGAAAAGAGTCGACTGGAATCAGGTCGGACGCCTAAAGGATTGTTTCCCCTTTTGGTTTTAGCGTAAAGGAGAAGAACTGAAGTTTGCTTTTGATCTATTGACCTTTTTAAGCTAAATTTAGTTCAGAAATATTAACTTTGTTCTTATAAATATAATATAAAGTCTTATTCTTCAATAAAGTTCTGTCTAAGTCTATCAAATTTGGTTTATTGTTTAAATTGTTTTAACAAATACATTATTTTAAGTTTTTATATTTGTGAATCCTTGATGTTAAAAGTTTTGTTATTTTTATTTGTCTATTTTCTGTACATATTTTTGTTCTTTGTGCCTCTTCTCCTCCTTTAACCTCAAAAGTTTCTCTGAGCATCAACTTTTCAGAGTTTTTCTGCCTTTTCCCTCATTTTCAGCTCTGTTTTTGTGTTTTTTTTGTGTTCAGCCTCTGAACTCAGGGTCACTCTGGTTTAAAACCTGTTTCTGGTTCTGGTTCTGGTTTAAGACCTGGATCTGGTTCTGGTTCTGCTACAGGTTCTGGTTTATCTCCTGGTTCTGGTTCTGGTTCTGGTTTAACACCTGGTTCTGGTTCTGGCTCTGGTTCTGGTTCTGGTTCTGGTTTAAAACCTGGATCTGGTTCTGCTACAGGTTCTGGTTTAACACCTGGTTCTGGTTCTGGTTTAAAACCTGGTTCTGGTTCTGGTTCTGGTTTAAAACCTGTTTCTGGTTCTGGTTTAAAACCTGGTTCTGGTTCTGGTTTAAAACCTGGTTCTGGTTCTGGTTCTGGTTTAAAACCTGGATCTGGTTCTGGTTTAAAACCTGTTTCTGGTTCTGGTTTAAAACCTGTTTCTGGTTCTGGTTTAAAACCTGGTTCTGGTTCTGGTTCAAAACCTGGTTCTGGTTCTGGTTTAAACCCTGTTTCTGGTTCTGGTTCTAGTTTAAAACCTGGTTCTGGTTAAACACCTGGTTCTGGTTCTGGTTCTGGTTTAAAACCTGGTTCTGGTTCAAAACCTGGTTCTGGTTTAAAACCTGGTTCTGATTTAAAACCTGGTTGCTGTTCTGGTTCTGGTTTAACACTGGGTTCTGGTTCTGGTTTAAAACCTGTTTCTGGTTCTGGTTTAAAACCTGGTTCAGGTTCTGGTTTAAAACCTGGTTCTGGTTCTGGTTCTGGTTCTGGTTCAGGTGGTTCTGTTTCTGTGATTGTGTTTTTAAAAGCAGAAACAAACCTGAAACTCTTCCTGCTCTTTGTTTGAGTCACACAGATGAAGTTCTGATAAAAGTCAGAATCGACTGATTCTGCTTCCTCATCCAACGGAAAACTCTTCAAACGTCACATTTACACACACACACACACACACACACACACACACACACACATTTACACACACACACACATTTACACACACACACTGAACGTCACATTTACACACACACACACATTTACACACACACACACATGAATCACACACGAAGCCAAACCCAGAAACCTGAAATCTGTCGGCTCTTACCTTCTGCTGCTCTTAGATATTTAGTTCCATCAGAACCTCTATAACAGAGTTTAACTGTTCCAGGACTTCTATGTTAGAATATTGGTGTGTTGTTTTTTTTATTCATTCCTCAGTGAAAGTAAAGTGTAACCTCCTCCAAATGTAAAAACTAATAAAACTAACAAAATTAAATGTTTTGGACTGAAAGGTTTCAGTCCAAAATCAAACCTGAACATCAGATCAATTCGGGGGTCAAAAATATGTATTTCTTTAAATGATATTTATAGATTAGATCATATACACAGATTATTTTTATTATTATTATTAGATTAGATTTAAATGACTTTAAAATCAAACATTTAGAAAAGTCTCATCATTATTAATAATAATAATGCTAATTAATGAATAATAATTAATAATGAATAAACTCTTAAAGCAGCTCCGTGTCTTGTTTTTTAACTTTTCCAAACCCTGAAGAGCCTCTGCTGTTTGGCTTTAAACAACTTTAACCAACCTTTGTTTACTTTTTCCTGTGACAGATGACATGTAATTAAAATTTCCAAACAAGAGGTGATTGTCTGAGTCAGAGGGACGTGACGTAAACTCAAACTGGTTTCCCCGCATTTTTAAGCAGTTTTTTCTGTTTGTTATACATTCCTCAGAAAAACTTCCTGCCTTCTTTGATGGAGTAAAGTTCAAATGTAAAACTAAAAACCAGACATTTAGGACAAAATCAAACCTGAACATCTATTCTCAAAAAGTCTTTACAGATTCTTTTTTTCATTTGGCAGAGACGAAACTTACTTTAAAATAAAAAAATTTGAAAAAGTTTCCTCATTACTAGATAATAAAAGTAAAGAGAGAAACTTCCTCCAAATGTAAAAACTAAAAACAGAAAACTTACAGTCAAAAATCAAACCTGAACATCAAGGAATGAACTAAATGGTGTTGAGATTAATTCGGGGGGTCAAAAAACAAAACAATTCTTTACAGATTTTGTTTTTAATTTAGACTAAACTTATTTAAAAATAAAGAATATATAAAATGTCTAATAATTATTAGCTAATAAAGGAAAACGGTGAAACTTCCTCCAAATGTAAAAACTAAAAAACCTTTCAGTTCAAATCGAACCTGAACATTAAAGAATGAATTCACTGATTTTCAAATAAATCGGGGGTCAACTGTAAAAAAAAAAATTCTTTACAGATTTTTTTCCCCATTTGGCAAACACAAAACTTACTTTGAAATGAACTTTCAGTCCCAAATCAAACCTGAACATCAAGGAATGAATTCACTGATTTTCAGATAAATTTGTGAGTCAAAAATAGTTTTTTGTACGGTATTTATAGACGTCTGACTCAGAGGGAAATGACGTCCTCACAAACTGGATATTCAGGATTTTTACAGAGTTTTTCCAAAAACAAAAACAGAGATTAAACAGATCAAACCAGCGCTTCACAACAACTTTTTTGTTCAGGATTTTTACAGAGTTTTTCCACGAACAAACAGAGATTAAACAGATCAAACCAGCGCTTCACAACAACTTTTTTGTTCAGGATTTTTACGCCGAGTTTTTCCACGAACAAACAGAGATTAAACAGATCAAACCAGCGCTTCACAACAACTTTTTTGTTCAGGATTTTTACGCAGAGTTTTCCAACAACAAACACAGAGATTAAACAGATCAAACCAACGCTTCACAACAACTTTTTTGTTCAGGATTTTTACGCAGAGTTTTCCAACAACAAACACAGAGACTAAACAGATCAAACCAACATGTCACAACAGCTTTTTTTGTGGTTTCAGCCTGAATGAACACGATCAGACGTGATTAAACACGAAGAAAACCTCCTGTTTTCAGCTCGTTTTGGCTGAAAAAGGGCTCGTTTTTCTCCGTTTACCTGGAGCAAACTCACCTGTGAGCGCCAGCAGGAATCCGCTCAGGAACGCTGCGACCCTCATGCTGTGATTCTGTCGTCTGACTGGAGCCTGGCGGCCAGAGGCTCACCTGTACCTGCCCACCTGGGAGGCCCCGCCCACCTGAGAGGCCCCGCCCACCCGAGAGGCCCCGCCCCCAGACAGGAGCCCAGCCTTTGAGCTTTGACCCCATTTGGCTGCAGGCTCACGGAGGACCAGAGACCTGAAATCTGTCAGCAATTTAACGCTATAATGCCAAATGTGTCATATCTGAATGTGTACAACAGGGGTTTGAGCAAAGCTTTTACCACTGAATGATGCAGAAAGTCTCAGATCCAAAAGACTTCAGAAACCGTATGAATCAGATATGACACATTTGGCTTTATAGGGTTAAGACCCCTACAAACAGCACAAAAAACAGCTTTAAAAGCCCCTTAAAAACGCTTTAAAAGCCCTCAAAAAACAGCTTTAACGGCCAAAAATAGATTTAAAAGCCCCCAAAAAAGAGCTTTAACCCTCTAAAGCCTGATCCGAGAAAAATAGGAAGAATATTGTCAGAAATCTATGTTGGTGTAGTCTTCTACTGGCTGTTATCAGGTATATCTGAATGTGTACAACAGGGGTTTGAGCAAAGCTTTTACTACTGAATGATGCAGAAAGTCTCACATCCAAAAGAAACCGGATCAGATATACCTGATAACAGCCAGTAGAGCTGGCTTTTAAAAAGGTTTTTGGTTTAGTTTTCTGCACATTTGAGCAAAACAAGTGTGTTGTGTGCATGTTTGGTGACCTGCAGTCACAGAATAAATTTGAATTAAATTAATCTAACGTCCTATTTATTTGTCTTGAAGCCTAAACATTGTATTTAAAGAAACTTTTCCAGAATCTTGTGGTTCATTTAAACACAAAATAAAGATGTGTGCAGTTTGCAGAAAGCATTTGAACATCTGAATAATTCCAGCATAATCTCTAAAAGAGAGAGTTTATCCACACAGTGTAAAAAATGATGACAAACTGTGTTTTTTGTATTTTTAATTCACATCTACTGTGAGCCGTCGAGGGTCTAGGGCCCCCTGAGGGGGCTTGGCCCCCCCAAGGACAAAAGCCTAGCTCAGCCTCTGTGGAAGATTATAAGAATTCATTAAAGGTTTTAAAGGTTCAGTTTATTTTCAAAGCTCATCAAAAAATGGAAGAAAAGCTTCAAATCACAGACACAAATCAGACGCAGAAACTGGAGCAGTTTAAAAAAGGAGGAAGAAAATCAGGAAGGTCTAAAAGTAATTCAGTTAATTTTCTTCATTATATTTCCTAAGGCCTCAGATTTAAACTGATGCAGAGCCCACATTAATTATTTTTGTATTATTTTATTATTTTACTCATCTTTTGTTTAGTTAATTTATTAATTCATTCATGTTCATTTTAAGAAGATGATTATCATTTTGTTCATTCCTTCATAATTAATTTTGTTCTGTTTTCTGAACCATTTTCTTATTTAGGGCGGCACGGTGGTGTGGTGGTTAGCACTGTCGCCTCCCAGCAAGAGGGTTCTGGGTTTGAGTCCCTAAGGAACCAGGACCAGAGGGTTCTGGGTTGGAGTCCCGGGGGAACCAGGACCAGAGGGTTCTGGGTCCGAATCCCGGGGGAACCAGGACCAGAGGGTTCTGGGTTCTAGTCCCCGGGGGAACCAGGACCAGAGGGTTCTGGGTTGGAGTCCCGGGGGAACCAGAGGGTTCTGGGTTGGAGTCCTGGGGGAACCAGGACCTTTCTGGGTGGTTCTGCATGTTCTCCTGTGTCTGTGGGTTCTCTCCGGGTTCTCCGGCTTCCTCCCACCCTCCAAAAACCTGCATGTTAGGTTGACTGGAGATTGGGGAAATTGCCCTTAGGAGTGAATGTGAGTGTGAGTGTGAGTGGTTGTGGGTCCTTGTGTGTCTCTGTGTGTCCCTGTGATGGACTGGGGACTGTCCAGGGTGACCCTGCCTCTCGCCCGTTGACCACTGGGATAGGCTCCAGTTCCCCCCGACCCCATTAGGGAATAAGCGGTATTGATAATGGATGGATGGATGGATTTTCTTATTTAGAGTTTGATTTTTCTTGTGTTTCTTGTTGCTTATTCTGTAAAAATACAGCAAAAAACTACCAGAATTTCTTTGTTTTTAGCTTTTTGTTTTCAGAAACGTTCCTGTATTTGTTTTCGTTCTGGTGTTTTTTCTGTTGTTGCTTTTTCGCTGTTGTATTTTCTGCTATAATAATCATTAAATGAACCCTAATCTTAATTCTGTGGCAGCTCTGCCTGTTTTTCTGCCTCCATGTTAGCAAAAACTGTTCCTCAGGGTGTGTTCACCGAGAGATCGGGACATAATTACACCTGAAACTGGTTTTCAAATGGTTTTCTCAGCGTCAGAATCTCTGTTTGAAGCTTTTTTCTGTTCAAAGTTTGAGTTTAGGGTTAATAGCTGCAACTTTACGGTTTGTTTTTGGTTGTTTTTGAAGGAAAAGCTTCAAACAGAGATCTGAATATGCAGTTTCTGTACTGTTCCGGGCTTTGGGACCTTTGCTTTATTGGTTTTTTGTACGAGAGCTGAAACATGTAAAGTATCTGCTGAAACTGAGGCAGTTTTAATCAACATCCGTGAGACTCTTTCAACATTCAGCCCACACATTGCAGAAAACCAGTTTGTGAACTGGGAATTTTCCGATGAATTCTGAAGATGTTTCCTTTTTCCTGGTTAGTTTACAGGAAATAATGTCATGGTCAGGAAAGGTTTTATGATTAAAACAAAGTCCAAATGATAAAACTTCAAATCCAGACTCTTGCTGTGGGTTCGGAGGTGATTGACCTCTGGAGATTAACTCATTGGCTGCCAAAGGCCTCTATAGAGGTCTTTTATGTTTTTAACGAGAGTGTCTGGGGGACG